CCCTAAACCCCCCAAACCCTAAACCGTGGGAGATCTAGCTTCAGGGCCCTCGACATCCTCTAGAGCCGGCCTCGGGATCTGTGTCGAGGGCGCTGCATCCTTCACGCCGTAGTCTCACCCAGAGAGCCCAATACCCCCTTAAATAAGGAATAGACTTTAGGGGCCTTTAGGGTTTAGGGTTTAGGGTTTAGGGTTTAGGGTTTAGACCTTAAATCATAATATTAATTAAGCCCCTGATGATTTAAGGTATATCCTTAAATAAGGTAATAAGGGGTATGGGGCTCTCTGAGCACCTATTTCGAGGGCTTCTAAACAAGCCCTCACACCTAAACCCCTATAAACCCCTATAAACCCCTATAAACCTCTACAAACCCCCATGAACCTCTATAAACGCCCATGAACCCCTATAAACCCCTAAAAACCCCGTATAAGCCCCCATAAACCGCCTCTAAACCCTAAACCCTAAGCCCTAAACCCCTAACCCCTAAACCCTAAACCCTAAACCCTAAACCCCTAAACCCCTAAACCCTAAACCCCCAAAAAAAACCCTGAGGGTACCTGGACTTCTGGAAGAGGACCCGGTAGTTCTCGGTAAAGACCTGCCGGTAGCTCCGATCCTGGGCTGTTGAGGACTCACATTAGGGTTTAGGGTTTAGGGTTTAGGGTTTAGGGTTTAGGGTTTAGGGTTTAGGGTTTAGGGTTCAGGGTTCAGGGTTTAGGGTTCAGGGCAAGTTGAGGACTCACATGCCTGCTGCCCGTGATGGCGCACGGTGGGTACGTCAAGGCAGCGGGGTTCTCCTAAATATGACCTTACTTAAACGTCTAAGTTACTTACCAAGTTTGCAGAGAGCCCAATACCCCTGAATTAGGGAATATACCTTAAATCATAGTATAAGCCCCTTATGATTTAAGGTATATAATTAAGGGGTATTGGGCTCTCTGGGTCTCGTGAGCCTTTGAGTAGTGATGGTTGTAGCGGCAGAGGTAGTCCAGGAGTCGCAAGAGTCGGGGATGGAGGCGTAAGAGGAGGAGCAGTCGTGGTTGTGGCAGTGTCTTCATGGTAGTCGTGACAATGGCAGTGTCTGTGGTGGCGGCAGTACTGATACTGTTCATGATATAAATCCTGCATTACCCATAAAAGGTTAAAGGGAATATGCCATAATTCCCATAGTTTAGGGTCCTTAAGGTCATGCAGGAATTATAGCATCAGCAGTAGTGGTGAGAGCAGGTGGACGACTCGTCCTCCTCAGTGCTTAAGGCCTGTAAGGGTTTCAAAAAAGAGATACCCTGCACCATTGATATTACGGTCCCCCGAGAGCCCAATACCCCTTAGTTAAGGATTATACCTTAAATCATAAGGGGCTTAATAGTATGAATTTAGGTATATTCCTTAATCAAGGGGTTTTGGGCTCTCTGGGTACCCTGCAAAATTGATATTAAGATCCGTGCTGTCCGATTACTTCCGCCAAGGGTGCCTATCAAAAGAGGGCATGCAGTCGTCCCCACAGTGGTATTGAGTTTCTGGTTCTGAGTAGTGGACTGCCCAAGTTGCCAGGAAATAACTGAGACAAGTGAGGATATTCCGTGATATTCCCTTATTCCTTTCTGCAACTGAACTCAATACATCCTTTCAACTACACGGACTCAGAAACCCTAAACCCAAAACCCTAACCCAACCCGCGGTGCGAGAATCCTAAAGTTCGGCCCAGGGCACGGCAAAGTCCACTTGCTGGACGACGGACCTCGATTAGTTATGGCAATTATAGCCTCACGATAAGTTACTTACTAAGTCCCTTGAGCCTCTAAGCACAGCTTTGAAATCTGCGCATGTTTGCTCCGTGGCGTGGAGTCTATGCCACAGGGCGAAAGTCGTTGGAACATGGCCCCATCATCTTGGAGCCTCAAGCAACTGCCCCCAAAAAAAAGAACAAGGCTTCTCCAACATATCCGAGTCAGGTTCAATAGTAAGCTAGAGTATGATATACCCAAAACCCTATTCTAATTATTCAGGCCCCATAATTAGAGTATACTATGCCTATGCCCGAAACCCTGTTCTTACTAGTAGGGCCCTATGTTGCCCGAGCCACAGCAGCTCCAGCGCATCCAAGAACTTCTGAGGGTTAGCCTGGTCGTGTCGCCGGTGGGTTGAAGGCTTGCTTAGGGTTTAGGGTTTTAGGGTCTAGGGTTTAGAGCGTAGGGTTTACGGTTTAGCGTTTAGGGACCGCGGTGTACTTCAGAATATTATTTTCTGGCTGTCGGAGTTCGAGTGTGTAGCATCCAGCAAAACCCCTAAAGCCTAAAACGCATGTAGGGATTCGGTTCACAGTGCGGAGATGATGTGAGAAACCCTAAACCCTAAACCCTGAACCCTAAACCCTAAACCCTGAACCCGGAACCCTGAACCCTGAACCCTAAACCCTAAACCCTAAACCCTAAATCCTGAACCCTAAACCCTAAACCCTAAACGCTAAATCCTAAACCCTAAAACCTAAACCCTAAAGCGGGGCCGACACCTTGCTCTGAAGCCATGTTACTTTTGTCGGGCGTTGCGATTTACACCCAGAGAGAGAGAGAGAGAGAGAGAGAGAGAGAGAGAGAGAGAGAGACACAGAGAGACACAGAG